AACGTCCTGATAACAAGATTTTATGTATACAAAAAAATATATAAAAATACTTTTTATATTAATCATGCATATTTTTTTTTCTTCACAAAATCTGTCAAGACTTGTACAGCTATAATGTCATGAAATGTACATATAAATGTCGTGGCATAAAGACATTTCATAGTTTCATACAGTGACGCAAGATCATCAGGTGATCCTGCCTCTCCTCAAGCAGCACGAGTTTAAAAATGTCCTTCATATCTGTAGAACAAACAATGTAGGTCCATCTACTTATTTACTTGGATTTGTTCAAATGTGAGTATGAGCAATAGTAATGGTTATATGACTTTGCAAACACTAATATTAAACCAAACTGAAGAAGTATAACTGATGCATACCGAGGACTAGCATATGACATTTATTACGTGCCTCCCACATACAAATCTCATCTTTTGTATCTAGGAAATAATGCTTTGTTTTTAAAGTTGTGTTTCCACCTTGGGCCATCCATGTACCATGAGTAATCAAAGGGAAATTAATTTAAAATGGTTCATCAAAATGTAGTCATTGCTACTGTAGGTATTTGGTCTTTAGTAGAAGTTTTGAGCACTGGGTAATAATGGCGTGTTAATGGTGTGAGGCGGCGAGATGAGGCCGTGTTGCCCCCCATATTTAACAGAGCGTGAGAGAGCCGGACACCTCTCACATGAACTGATGAAGAGCTGCTCCCAGAGCTTTCAGAAATTCACTCACTGACTCATGTGCAGAGCTGAGTAAACATTACACACGCGTGAATTGAAGGCCTTTCCTTTACAAACATATATTACATGTGATTTTTTTTGTGTGTGTCATCAAAAAAGGGCTTGTCAGTTTTTGTATTATTGATGGTAAAAAGATGAAAATTAAAGAGAGAAGAGGGTGGGATGTGATCAGGCATTGTGGGTAATGAACATTTAGGTAAGGTGGCTTATGTAATCGGGTGTGTATATGATCGATGCTGATTATTGTTTAAGGGTTTGGTAACCGGTATGCACAACAAATTTATAATCATTGTTTTATTTCTTTTTTTGTGTCATGTATTTTTAAAATATAAAAATATTAATATAATAGAATATAAAAAAACATGATGAAAATAATAATAATAATAATAATAACAACAGTAGAAATAAGTAATCATAAAAATAATTGTGATTTTTCAATTTTGTTTTGAGCGTTCTATAACACTAAACCATTTTTTCCTACTATTTACGTTTGCATATGATTGTTACAGATTTTTGGCAGTCACATGGTAAATTAAAAAATTGGTGGTCAATTACCCTGCACTTATTCACCATGTTAAAATGTATTAATAATAACTGTATGAATATCCACACAAAACAAATGACTGTCAATACATTTTAAATAAAGCATAGTAGGTTTTTCAGGGCAAATACCATAAATAATTATGTAATAATCATAAAATAATTATTCATAACTGTTCATTTAAAAAAAAAAAGAAAGTTTAAAAATAATGTTTTAGTCATGCATTATGCAGTCCACATTTGAATGTCCACATTTGCACATTTGCAGTCCACATTTGCATGTGATCATATATTCACACAGCTCCTATACTTCCTTTTGTTGAAAATAAAAGAATTGTAAACGCACTTGCTTTCTGAAAACACCGGTTTTAGCTTGCAGTTTAGCGATCTCCACTTCAATATTCTATTCTCAGAAAAGTGTAATTCATCATTTGTTCATTTATGAGAGAGAGAGAGAGAGGCTGTGTGTGTATGAATTACCACTGTTTTGCCACGTTTCTCTATTAACAGTAAAGCTGTGGCTTTAATTCCTTTAGAAACAATGATGCTACCAGCGCCTTGTTGAGAAAGATAATGTAGCTCTTGAGCGATTAAGCTATTTAGTTGATAAAACTGCGGGGCAGCGCTAAAAAGTTTGTTCTGTGTGAGTGTGAGTGACTGAGCGTGTGTGTTAGATACAGAAGACAGCGCATTAGTTTAGAACTCTTCTCATTTTTATTTTTTTAATGTAGAGAGTGTGTTAATTTGTGCAATGATAACCTACCAGCAATGTAAATATGATTTAAAAAATATATATATATATTAGAATGAGTACATTACAATATAAATTTATTAGAACGAGTACATT